TTTTTTTTTTTACCTCAAGTTTACATAACTTTGAAGAAAGAAATGAGAAAATTGAATAAACTACAAAACATCAAAGAAGAACTTCAGAGAAATGTTTCTGTACAATTGATGCATAGCATGAATAGTTCCCAGATGATCAAGAACCTATCTCTCACGCTGCAAGAAATAGCCACCAAATTATGTCATGAGCTTTACCAAAGAGAACCAGGTAATCCTATATTCCTCTGTGAGCTATTTATTAGACAATGAACAAAACCTTGGAGTCACTGAGAATTATTTCATCAAAAGCTAGCAGCCTTTCCCTGGGATGCCATTATTTGGAGAGAGGAATTAAACGTACTTGACAAAGGACTCACTGTGCAAAGAAAAATAAGAAAATAACAACTGTAGGCCCCAAATTATCAGAGGATAACAACTAATAAAATATTAGACCACATACAGTTTCTCTAATCTGAAATTTTCTATTATTCTTGGCACTGAGGTCAATAGAAAATAAGGAGGAGAGGATAAGTCACCTCTTTATATCCTTCTTAAAGGATAGAAGAGAAGGTCTTTATAGGTGACCTTGTTCCTAAACGTCAATGTTTGATGAGAATCAATAGCAAAGAAATAGTTAAGTCTTGCCATTCGAATTGGGAGTAATTGGTCTTTCAATATCTCTAAAGTTCCTATAGTTATTATAACTAAAATATGTTCTTTGTGCTTTTGAAAACTCCCCCAAGTATTCAATGTCAGACAGCCAGAAACGCCCTAGTTGGAGATGGGCTGATGCAGGCTGCGGGGTTGATTCTTACCACACAATGTTTTTGTGATTAGCTTTCATTGCCATGTAGTAATTTAAAAAATGGCAAAGAGAGAAAAGTAAATTAATTCATCATTATTCTGGACTCCGGAGTTAAGAAAATACACTGGAATACCCTGGACATTTAATTTGAAACGTATTGTTCAGATTATGTTTTGGACGCACTGCGGTGGTATACAGGGACCTGGAACACAAGATTCAGGTTCTTCACCTTTCATGTAAAAGCGAGAAAGACAAGTAAATTTGGTAAGTTCAACAGAGGACAGTGGGAATAATGAGAGTAATGAAGATCGTCAACCCAAACCAAATGAAACTACGTTCTTCTTTCAGAGCACAAATGTAAACCTTGCCCAAAGAAGTGGATATGGCACGAGGACAACTGTTACCTAGTAACTAAGAATTATGTAACATGGCAAAAGAATGCCATGTTCTGTTCTGCTCAAAATGCCAGCCTATTGATGATTAAGAACAAAAGTGTATTGGTAAGATCCCCTGTATCTCTGCCTGGGAAGAAGGAAGTCACTTTTCCCATCATAGAATAGAGAGGATTGAGGCGTGTTGGAGAAAATTTGTACTAATCCAGACATGATTCTCACTTATTTTAATTAGGGTATGAGGTGACTGACACTTAGGACGTTTATTGCGAGGTAGTATATCCGAGGTGTGATCCAAAACCTTAGCTTAGGACCTTAACATCCATGGACTCTCAGAGGTTGGGCAGATGGGTAGATTTGGGGTACCCAGAATCTTTTGGGCTGTGAGCCTTTCCAAACCACAACTTTAGAATCAACTCTCAGAACACAATTTCTGAGAATTTACCTAAAAAAATAGAAGACCTGGAAATCGTTCTTAAGGGTTACCAATTCCATAAAATTTACATCGAGAAGACTCTTTGTTTCTACCATGTTGTATTTTTTTAACTAAGAGAAAAAGTCAACGCCACAACCTACAATAAGAAGATAGGTTGGATAACATATGTATAAAAAAGTAGGGATTAAGATGGGATGTCAAAGGCAAGTGCCAAGCGGATATGTTATACTGATTCCCTGGGTTCCAGGAAAAGTGAGTTCTGTAGAAGATGTATGTATGTATTTATATATTTATATTTATTCATTTTCTTTTTCTCTAATATCTAAGTGGTATCTCCATACCATTACGTATTCCTCGGCATTTCTGTTCTCTTGGATAATATTCATAATATTATTATGAATAATAATTGGATAATACTGGATAATATTATTTAAGGAAAAAAACTCATGTTCCCAAAAGTCTCGGCTTCCCTACTGTGAGAATCTTTGTCCGCCTTTATAGCAGCAGGGGAAAGGAAACGATGGTCACTTCTACACCCCGTCCTTCTCAAAGGATCCACTCATAGTTATTCACTCAAAAAAAAAAAAAAATGTCTGGATATGAGTGAGAAAACCTTACTTTGGCTACAAAAGCCTGGACTGGATCTAAATTCTAGTCTGTAACCACTTCTCGTCTGACTTTGCTATGTTTTTCTCCTGCTTTTCCTGTTTCTCTTAACTTGTGTTTTAGTGGTTAACCACCTCCTTTGCCCCTAGACTACTGCTCTATATTTGAATCTTGAAGTTGGTGAACTTCACAGAGCCTAAGTTAAAGTAATGCATGGACCGGTAGATACTTTTCCAAGTGAAGCAGTAAATGATATATAAGTGTTGCAGGGAGTCTTTTTTTTTTTTTT